TCTGAAATGTTAAATTATATTTTAAAAAAAGAAAGAATGGTCTGTTCTTCCTGTCAGACGATAAACAAATGACCGTCTTAAAGGTGTGCTTTGTTATGTTATTTCACTAACATAACAATGAAATCAGGGGTGAGATTTGTCAAGATGTTTTTCCTGATTTTAGGATTTTTGCAAATCCTGAGATTTTACGGTGAAGGTTTTTCACATCACCGCTAAAGAAGAAAGGGTGCATGTTTATGGTGTAAATCGAGGACACACATGTGAAGCATCATGGAGTAATTGAGGACAGGAGTCAAATCGAGGACGACCTCGGTTACAAAACGTGTACAAAACCAATGGGAGCTGTTGCAAAAAAGTTATAAACAAAAGATGAATGATGAGGAACAACAGAAAATCCTTGATTTACACCATAAACCAACCTGTAAATGTGTCCGTGGTTCTACATGTACATGTACATAACCTCCAAGGACCGACACACAAAGGGAGAACAACAGATCCTTTCAGTCCTCGGAGTTGGGTCTTTTGTTGGAAACGGTCCTCTGTAGTAAGTTTGTGTGCTTAGTCTAAGGGAGAGTGTTATATTACAGGGACAAAGGGAAACACAGTGCATTGTCCTCGAGGGTATAGTAAAACAAGAGTGTATGTATGTATGTGTGTCCACGAGTTGTTCACGCGTTGCTTGACTGCGAAGCGGGCAACAGGCGGCGAAGCCACTTGACCGTGAAGCGGGCGCCTGCCTCTCGACCCTGTATAGCGGTCAACAGGCGGCGAAGCCACCTCTAAGATCTTTATTAAAGTTTAGGACAAAAGAAAAGGGTATGCTTTGAGGCAAATACAAACATACACCGTAGACCCTATGTTGTTCTGTGGTCCACAGCGACCCTACAACCCTCTACAGATTATTTTGTGGATTTTTCATTTTCCCCCATCTCACCCCTACTCACATGTATCTCTGTTGAACAAAAGCACACACCTGAAACTAAGATGGCTGCATTGCACATGATCTATGTAGCATACACACTGTACCTGGACAAATGCAGTCAACTGCATTGTTTGCATTTTGCCATTAATGTGGAAAATTTCAAGCCTGTCCTTTAGTTGGCACGATACAAAAGTACCCATTAATATAGTTCTACTTATTATACCATTTCATTTTCTGTTAGGTTTGGCTGCTATTCATAATAATAATTGTAGTGTGTTTTAATTTCAGTTATTTGATTTTCTGGAAGTGGGGGATAGAGTTTATGTTTTGAGCAACTACATGTACATATACATGTACATGTGGAATAGGTTCTTTATGGGGGACATGGTGATGTTGTGGGAAAAGAATGTTTTGTTTATCACAACATTTCTGACCTTTATGAACAATTTTCAAGAAATAATTTCACCCTGCAGCGAATCCTGTCTAAATGCCATGCATGTACATCTACAGTGGTTTCATATCATCCTCTGTTTTGAAAGTAATGCTTCAGTTTCAGGGGAAAAAAGTAATCAAGAGGCATTAACGGCCGGCAACGCAAGCTGTCACGAGAACCACCAGGAAAGCCACACTGCCCGCAGCCCGGCGTGTAGATTAAGTGCTGCGACGATCGTATCAAATGCACGTAATCTGTAACCCTAGTGAGCTTTTGACACCTCCCCAAATTGCCGTTTTCTGCAACACTGCACAGCTACCGTACATGTATTCTCAAGGCTTTGTGGCACATACACAATTCTTTTGTGCCGGGCAAATTCGTGATTCTCTCCGTGATTATTTTGACCCTCGTGTCGTTATCTTATTTCACTGATTTCGGCCCTGACATTTGCCGGATTTACTTTGGAGCTTGCAGTGGCGCTGAGTCATCCAAGTCTGACGTATTCGTCATAATCTAGCTTAAATTTCTCCAGGGTAATCGTCGGAGTCACCGTCTTTCCCCTTGAAATCAGATTTGGGTGCATTTTTATCACGCAGTGAAATGGTTATGAACTGACCTGCAATATTCAAGCCTATATTGATTTCTTCTAGCTTTCTGATTTCTTCCTGAGCGATTTCCTTTGGGTACCCTCCAGATGTTTTCCTTGCTGAGAAGTATTTTAGCAAGGGGAAGACTGGGAGGTGTTTTCATTGGAAATTGCTCATGATAAACATATCTACTGGGATAAGATTGAAATCTGTAAAATAAGAGCCAATTTCATGAAGTTGCTAAGCACATGCAGATGTTTGCTAAACACGGACAATGTTCGCTTTTTACTTTTAGCAAAGACTTGGCAACAGGCATGACAGGCCTACCAAAAGATCTCCCTGTGTTAGTTTAAACTAAGCTTCATTCCCAAAAATAGATTTTGTATTGCAATTGATCATTTTCTAGCCATACACTTTTCGAATGAGAAATCAAGTGCAAAGATCTGCTTACGTTTTAATAGTTACTGACTAATTAGTTCACATATATTACAAATTATTTGTGGCCTGACAATAATTCAGTGTATGTTTTGTGCATTATTGGTGTAAAAGAAAACCCCCCCCTCCAAAAAAAAAAGAGCATACATGAACATGTATTTTCAGAAGTTTGCAAACTTGTCTAACTCATAAAAAAAACAAATGTGTTTTTGTTTAAATAAAACAAATAAATTGAAAATTTGTTAGGAGAAAAAAATTGAACTTTATATTGAAGAGCACAGGTACAAATGTAGATCAACTTTAAGTGATACTGGTACATGTACATGCGCTCTTCTGAGTAACTTGAGAGGCAATACATGTACTATCAGCTTATCAGCTTCATGCGATCTACAGTTCAGTTCAAAGACTGTTCTCATATAAATTGTGCAAGTGCTCTTCATTGCAAGGCCCAGTGTGGCCCCAACAGTGGCGCACAGAGCGAATTTCTCATTTCATCCCTGATTAATTTCTTTTCAGTTTACCAAAGTAATGATGACCTTAAGCACAAGTTTGCACTATAAAGACAGAAGAAGGTATTCAGAATACAGTGCATCACCAAGATAATTCTTTTGAGGAAGCCACTTTTTAACTGCACAGTCATCTTCCTTAACTTGAACTTCAAAGACAACATTTTCTTCATGACGCATTGTGAGTAAAGCAGGATTTGCTGCTACTAATGACGGCTCTTCTGTTGGTACATGTAATTGTTTGTATTCCATGTACGTTTCCCCTAGTTTCATGCTCCAAACAAATGTGAAAGCGATGCAATTTTCATGTCATCAATAGCTTTGCTGTAAAGTTGTGGATTAAGCGTGCTGTAATGAAGTTGATTCAATCTCAAATTGACGTGAAATGCAAGCCGGACTTCAGTCTAATGGAAACAAATATCAAGGATTTCCTTTCTTTATTTAAGCTTTTTTTGCAGGTAGTTTAAGTTGCCAACATCTTCTGTGTAGTTGAATTGGTCTTTGTGGTTTGTAAATTTGGCCATCTTGAAAGTTCCAGTACAAAGGACACATGATCTGAGTGACGCACAGGGCTCAACGGTATTAAATGTTCGCATATTCTCTTCATGCAACCTAACCCGGGAAACTTGTTGACCTGTGTCCAGTAGCTGTGCTACACAGCTTCATCCATGACTGCCCCGGCGGTGACAGCCCGGTTTGGGCAGACAAACGAGAGACAGTAATGGCTTCCTGGCTCTCCAGTCGTCAGGAGTGTGATTGTTTTAACGACTGAGAAGCCATCGCAGTGTCAGCTCAACAAGCTTCTTCGGTGTCTCGCTGTCACATCGATAGTTTGACTCAATGGCCATTCAGGGAATTCAGTGTCCCCCGTGCAGACTCCTAACGGAAACATCTATCAGTTAGCCTGACTTTTTTTTTCTCTTTTTTTTTTTGCTGACGAAGCTTCAAGATGTTCTTTCTTTCGAGAGAGCGAAAGAGAGAGGAGCAGCTAAAGACAAGCTTGTTGAGTTTTGTAAGGATTTGAAAAACATTTGTTTCTCCTGCTGTGAATTGATACCAATGTCTTGCTTGTTCAGCTGGTCTTTGTAGGTCAAAACATTCTGTCATTATGTATTGAGAGCAGTGGCTGCTCGAAGAATCCTAGCCTCTTTTTCTCAACTCAATTGACACTTTTTCATTTTGTACTTTGAACAATTCTGTTTGACATAAAACGTCACTCATTTGATCAGTCATTTTCAAATGTTACTTGCATTGTGGTCTAGAAGATACATTGCTATCACACCAACAAGTGCCTTGTCTGCCTGCCAGGTATCGTACTACCGCCCAAAACAACCCCAGCAATCTATGCTTTTATGGATTCATCAAGAATGCAGTGTAATACGTTAGTGTTCTAATGGGTTAACACGGTATTGTGTAGGGGCCTCAAAATGTTGATTTGCAATGCATTGTCCTTGAGCATGTTGAGCAGGACACTTTTCTCCTCTGAGGAGCTATGTCGGACTCTATTCCTTTAATCCATATGTCACTGCACCGTCCAAAACCATCCTGCCTATTACTCCCTGTAACGTCCGAAACTGCGCGGAGCACACTGTGGTTTTATGGATTTGTTAGAGACTAAACACATTGTAACACAATGTACAAACAGGCTAATGGGTTAGTGGGCATTAGGGATACATTTATGTATGTCTTCTTAGGATTATAGTCAGCGAACATATGGGGCGGAAACTGTTCGAGTTGATACCACTTGTTCTTTTTAGAGCCGGCTCTCTTGGTCTACCGCCAACTTTGATTTATTTAGATGATATTGGCCTCTAAAATTCTGACCTTTTCTCATCAAAATCACAGGAAGTCAATCTTGTATAATGGCATCTTTAAGGTCTTACGTAAAAGGTCAACCTTGTGACTGTCATTTTGGTCATCAGGTGTTATACTGGGGTTTTTTCTTGTTTTTTTTCCCTTGTTGAATCAGCGTCTCCGTGCTAATGCAAAGTTCCGCTATGACTACATTGTAGACATGCACACATGTAGATTACCCTGTTTTGTTTAAATGATGTCATCCAGCCCTGATTTTGTCCAATAAAAGGCAACCCTCAACCCCGCTTCCCCGGCACTTCACCGCAGCATACCTCGGATGTGTATATTTCCTTTCGGGATGCGTGGAATTAACCCTAGTCCTACTCTGGGGTGATTTGTGAACCCCTTGCTCAGCTACTGCATCTCCTGCCCAGACTGCTGTACGGTCCTAAACATTTCTCTCGTTCACTGGGTACAGAGACGCTTTGTTGTTTTGTTTTTTGGTGCGGGGGATTTGGAGTGGTCAGATTCTGTCGTTCGAGCTGCTCTTCAGCAATGTCGTCAGACTGGTCCCGCAGGGCCTTTCGCCGCCACAGCCGGCACACGTGGTCAAGCAGTCACCACCACAGGCACCGTCACCATCCAGCCAAAGAAGTTGTACAGGAAAACGGCGTGACAAACGGAGTGCATGATGTCGATGAGAACGAAGGGGCAACGTACGTCCCTGTTAGAGAGGTAGATGGCCAGTAGATTGTTTGTGTTGGGTTTAGTTGTCACGTTTTCAAACTGTACACTTTATAATGGGGCTTCCAAAGTTCACTTTCCAAGCCAGTTTGATATTCCAACTGTGTGCATGTGCACATCAAAATTTGAGAATTTCCTTTTCAGGATAACAATTTGTTATTTGCGTGCAAAATAATCAGGTACCAGAAAAATAAAGGAAATTGTCAATTTTTTAAGAAAAGCACATCATTTCTAAAAGTTTGCAAAGCCAAGTATTTTTTAGGTGTTTTGTATATAATGTACCTCACCTTTCGGGCAAGGAATTTTTTTACTGCATGAAAAATTACGGAGTGCAGATTCGGTTACCACATCCCTCATAGACTTGTGTGCATTTACCAGCCGTGTTTATCCCGAAAAAGAAAAAATGGTCAAATTTTGTTATGCACATGCGCAGTTGGAATACCAATTCGATATATTGGGTTTCCGTAGCTTCCATCTTAAAAGATAAACTGTACAGGATGTCCACAACAAAATAAAGATAATTTGAAAAAATGTTGTGTTACAACATGTGTAAGTTGAAGACCAGAATCCTGCAGGTAGGCTCTCTCAGAGACGGCCATCTCTGTAGGAGAACTGCAACTGCATATTTTAAGCAATCAAGTGCGTATTGTGCAGTGTTGAAAATGTTCCAAACAATGCGCGGTTGTTGCTCGAAATGTTTTCGAAATATGACGCAGCCGATGCGCGTTATCTAGTTCACGCTCAAAATGCCGAGGCACGTGGCTGGTCTGTAGGAAATGACGTCATTTGAGAGAGACCTATTGTATCAGGAATGGTTTAACAGCTATCCATAAATACAGTTCGGTACTTGCACTTTTATTAATTTCTAAACAAAAGCTACAAAGCTTGGCTGATGCACTGGTACATCTCCACACAAAGTGTGTATTTGCCTGCAATCGGGGACACCCTATTGTCCCTCTTTTGTTTGTACCTCCCATATGTTTTGTACACTCGGAAATTTGGAACCTCTTGGGAATTGGCTATTGTCCTCTATTGTTCAACGTCTCCTGTTGAATGCAGAAACAAACTCATATGAGCAGTAAATGACCAAAACAAGATATTTGCCATTAATACACAACACTCAGTTAAAATACATACATTTTTGAGGTACATGTACATGTAATTACTGTTTAGGACTAATGTTCAATGTACATGGTAAAAGCCATTGCCCTGCTAATTATTTATGTATAATATACACAACAAATGCACAGTTTGAACAATTTTGTACATACATGTACGTTTGTCCTTGTATACATGTAGATACGGTATTTACGTGTTTGGCAGAGCCTGCACATACAATTCACCTTCAAGAGAGTTTACCACAGTTCCTAGTTTTCCTACATGTGCATGATGTACATGTATTTTTTGCTTGTTCCTCTAGGTTTTCTTAGTTTGTCGTACATTTTGTTTCATTTTCTTCATTATCAGAACCTTGAAGCTTTGACAAAAATGTTAACCATGATATTTCCAGGAGGTTCAACACTGAGCAAGCATCATTTACAAAGTCAAATATCCCTTTTTTTTTCATCCGTATTGACACAGAGGACCCTTCCTGTCACGCCCATCTAATATTCAATCGGTCCCTCTCCAATTAAACGGCATTCAGAGTGTTCCCACGGCGACTGATTGATTTTTCGCTCTTGCCCCGGCCCGTTTTTTTTTTTTTGCCGTCGATTCTGGCCTGTTCTCTGCATTCCCAACTGTCTCTCCCCGCAGAAAATTAATTCAGATATCCTCTCCAGTGATCCCGAGCCTGAGACTGTCAGTCGTTTCTCACCTGTTTTTAGTTCAAATTTACCTCGGCTCCTTTGGCCGAATTAGAGGGCTCTATCTGATTAGGACGGTCGGACAGAGATTATTGAACTGTTATAACCAGTTTACATTGAGAGATGTCTCTCTAATGTTCTGGAGGCGGTGGGATGCTGAGTTGCTGTGCCATCAAATGGTGTCCATTTTACTGTATCGGGGGGAGGGGGCACTTCTTACTGTGTTTGGGTATTTTTTGTAGAGGGTTTAATATCAGTCACAATTACAGAGAAGGTAACGTTAATCAAAATGCACGTTATTGGAATAGAAGTAAAACTTTTAGAAGAATAGAAGTTAAAAAACTGGGAGAATCTGAGAATCGGACATGCATCATTGTGCCCTTTAACATGTTCACATAGTCGACTATTTTGTCAACCTTTTGTTTTGAGGTCAAAATCACGATTAGTAAGATCGAGTCTCACAGAATTAAAGTTCTTAAAATGAATTAAGTTAAGTATTATTATGGTTATTTATATTAAAGAACAACTCGAAAAATTGCAAGACTTCTGCCATTTTGGCTTGAAATATTTATGTAAATTGACCTCTGAATTTTTGTATTATTTTCTTTTTGGACAGCGAAATGAACCTCTAAAAATTCATGGGATACCCCCAGTCAAGAAAGTAGGAACCTGTCAGTTGGTTGGAATGACTTGCCTTCAAGCAAGGAAGCGTGTGCCCTGTCCAATCCTTCACACTGTCTCTCTGAAGCACCATTCCTCAAGGCATTGCTGTCCCTTTTAGAGGCTATTCCAAACACTCCCGCAGTCAAACAGGCGGGGAGGTTTTGTTATCCTTCATTTTGTTGGTGGCCCGGCACTTTTATTTTTTAGCCTGCAGATGTTTTTTTTCCGGGGACAACAAGTGTCTGTGAGGGGATGATGGCTGTTATTTTATTTACAGATGTGTTTGGCTGGAGGGGAGTGGAGGGGAAAGAGGGCTGCGGTTTTGAAGTTGAATGGATTCAAAGATTAATGCGTAAGGTAAATTTTATCTGATGGAGACTGTAGGTTGCCATAATGAAAATGGCTTCCACTGTTGGTGTAGTATCAGAAGAAATAAAGTGATGGTTAACCTTAAACTGAATCGAGACCAGGTTCAAACATTCTAGAATTGAAAGCTCTCATCGAAAGTCATGGAAATGTCATGGCGTTTTGTTATTTTGGAACGTGTCAAGGAAAGTTGATATTCTGTGCATAGAGTCATGGGAAGTCACGGAATCCTGCACAACCCATACGTGACGATGCGTAGTACTTGGCTATGGCAGTGTTTGAGTTTGCACTCTGGGAGTTTACTATATAGGGCTCGTCCAATGACGGCCATCTCTGTAGGAGAACTGCAACTGCATATTTTACGCAATCAAGCACGCATTGCGCAGTGTTGAAAATGTTTCAAACACACGCTTGTTGCTTGAAATGTGTTCGAAATACGATGCAGCCGATGCACATTATGCAAGTTGATGCTCAAAATGACGATGCACGTGGATGTCTGTAGGAAATGACGTCATTTGAACAAGACCTACATGTACATGTATACTTCCTCTTTATGATGTAAAATGTGGTGCTTAGCGGTCTTGTGTCTTACTGGCAGGCTGAGAGGGAGACGAGACCCTTGCCTCAGTGTGATGACAAGCAAGTACATTATAAACACATTTTTTAAAGGCTCCTACGGTGTTAGAACTGCAAGGAATTGGTCATGGAAAGGCCTAATTTTGTCTGGGAAATGCCATGGAAAAGTCGTGGATTTTCATATTAAGATTTCTGTGGGAGCGCTGGAGACAGCTATTCCGTTACACCTTGTTACTAACTAGACACTGCTGGAACCATAAAGAAGACCCCTAGAAAACAAAAACAACAGAATTCTTTTAAATAACTGAAAAGTTGCTTCTCTTTCCATAACCACAACCAGGGCCAAAATAATGGAGCTGTTACACAGAAATTTGCTGACACGAAAAAAATGTGAGCTCAGCAAAAATGGGTTACTGGAAAAAAAACAGCAATGTGCGTCACAGTTGTCAGCAGCATTGAAAAATTGATTGTGTACAATAACAGATGACGTTATCATTTTTTTTTTGGTCAGGATAAATGTACATGAATTCTGTCAGCAACATTTTATTCTAAACCCGTAAGTGATTGAATTGAGAGAAGCTTTGGTTTTTCAGAGTTTTATTTCAAAAAAGATGACTCACAACATTTCGGGGAAGTGCGATACATTCATCATAATTCACTGTGCATCATGTTTTTTTGGGTTTTTTTACCCTCCGGCATTATATATTTACGTGGAAATTTTTTGCTAAAGGTTGGATGTTCATCATGACATTTTCCATGACCCGCTGCATTAACAAAACATTACCTTGGAATTTAAAAAAAAAAATATGTGAACATTTGTGTAAGCTTTATCCCCGGTTTATGCCTAACATGACGGGACAAGGCCCTTGCATTTCGGGAGGGATTATTCAGCTTTAGGCAGACTACCGGCTGAAAGCAGTGAAGTCATCATTTGAAATGCAGCTTCTTTAAAGGTGTGCTTGGCAGCCTTTTGATACATTCATGTAAAGCCCGGTTCATACTCGGCGCGAAAGCGAACACGAATTTGTGACGTCATGGCAAGTATTCGCGCTGCGAATTCGTAAAAGTTGAACATATTTCAACTCCGGCGAATTTCGCAGCGAATGTTTCATGACGTCAAATTCGCATTCGTATTCGCATGAAGTATGAGCCAGGCTTAATACATTGCTTTTTATACATCATACAGTTATCTGCCGTGGTCCATGGAGTTTTGTCCAAAGTGGGCAAATGATACCAAGTACCGGTAGTGTAGCAAAATTGAAGGTTCCATTTGCACCCCCCCCCCCCTTCACATTCATGAGAGTTCAGTTTTGGTGAGAGTATATTATTAATGATAATGGAGACGTCAGTTCCAGCATAGAGAAAGGACATTTCTCTGTGGTTCCAGTGACGATGGGACCTGTTTTTCGGAGAAAGTCCATTTTAAATATCAGATCAGGATTCAGAGGGCAGTACTGTCTCGTGATCCCACAACTGTCTGAAATGAATCTGGGAAAGGCCCTGTAGACTATACAACTGTACATGTACATGTGTTATGCATTGGGAACTCAATCCCATGCTGAAAAAAGATTGGGCATATAT